TGGAAGTTACCGAAATCATACCGGACGAGTCCAATCTCGTGTCGGCGAAATGTTGATCTAGGTAGACGTTTGTAGCGGTCGAATTGCGACTATGTCAAAAATGGAATTCTTCCGGCTGATGGAGCTTAACAGTAAAGAAGCTCGTGAGCGCAATCGTGGAGTAATCATATGAACGAAGTTGCGAACAAACGACAGATATGGCCAGCCCCGATGTACTGAGCGACGTCACCAAGAAAGATGTGGCGCTTGATGTCATATCCCTACAGTCATTAATAAACGGAGACTCAAGCACGGAAGCCATGTTGTTGAAAGCATGCACTGATTTAGGATTCTTCTATCTTGATTGCGTGGACGGGTGCTCCGGTGAAATCTTGGAGGATGTTCAGGCAATGTATTCCCTGGCTAAGAATTTCTATGACCTGCCACAAGGAGCGAAGTCTGAGTGGCTGGTGGATAGAGATCATGACGAGCATTTGGTCATGGGGTAAGACTAGAGGACTGCGAAGCCCCTGTACAGATGTTCGAGGAGCTGACGTGATGTTTTTGATCAATTAGGTATAAGCCTGCAGGTCACGGGAATGGCCCTATCGAAGGTGTCAAGGACGGTTTCGAGGGGCTAATGGTAATGCCGCGAGGACTGTTGCAGCTTTACATGCTGACGTGAACATCGTAGCTCTTTGAGCATCCCATCTCCAAGATAGATGATCCTGCATCATTTCCAGGTCCTGAGGTCATTGCTCACCAGCTCAATCCACTCAAAAAGGCGATTGCGACCTTCCGTGGTATCAGCGTCTTACTTTTGGAAAGAATCTCTGCAGCATTAGACTTGGACCCGTCAAAAGCTTTCCAGGGATATCATCGCGAAGGCGCTGTCTGTCCAACAGCTCTTGGACTGCTGAAGTACACGATTGCTGAGGAAGAGCCCGAGAAGATCGGCCAAATTGCCCACACAGATGCCGGTAGCCTATCAATCGTGTTCACAGAGGTTGCCGGTCTCCAGGTTCTGAAACCAGAGGAAGATGACTGGTTTTACATTGCTCCAAAGCCTGGACATGCTGTTGTAAATGTTGGCGATGCGCTCCGTTTCATATCGGGTGGAGTTCTGGAGTCCAGTCTCCATCGAATTATTCCCCACAAAGACGAAAGATTTCGGCACAAGTACTCAATCGTGTACTTACTGAGACCGGAGATGGATGCAGAGTTCATTGATGGTGAAGGGCGAATGTGGAAAGGCTTAGAATGGTAAGCTGTGCCATTGTTGTACGGATCCAAATTCTGACACGAGATGTAGGACAAACAAAAAGCATGCTGTGTTTCGTGCTCCAGCAGCAGAACAAGCTCAGGGGACTTATCTTACCGGTAGGGATGGGTATGTTGGATACTGGGATCCGGAGAAGGATCAGGAAGATGTGATATCTTAGGAACCTTTTCTATTGGCGAAATATGATTCTGAGATACACCATACAGTACAAAATCTTCGTGAATCCATCGCTATCTAACTCTTTTCGGCACGGGATTTGATTGCAACCCTCATCTCTGGCTTCTGCCATAGTGTATGCATCTCAGATTGGGCATGCCAGTCTAACTGAGGGTCCAGCAACTTCAAATCATACTTGAAGTATAACTTTGCCAGGATTGTTCTGAGTTCCAGCCAAGCAAGACTAGCAATAAGGTTTTAGTGATCGAAAGCAACATGAAGAGTCAGAAAGCTAGCGACGTACCTTTTTCCCAAGCAACTTCGTGTGCCCAGCGAAAATGGCTGGCTTGCTCCCAGAGTATCCTCTCCATCTTTCCTCAACCATCGTTCTGGGTCAAACTTCCACGGATTGAGAAAGTTATGAGACGACATTGAAGCCGCGAATGGGTTTGTAGAGACGATGGTCTGCGGCACCTTATAGTTAGCAAGAATGCTTAGAAAAATAGCTGCATCTACTACTTCAAGCTCACTTACACCCTCTGGAATGAAATGTCCGTCAACTACATCATCTCCTTGAGGGACAACTCTTGGCAGAGGAAAAGGCAGTGGCGGATATACTCTCATCCCTTCAAGTATGACTGCATTCAAGTATAGCAGGCTTGTTGTCGATGTTCCATTGATCTCCTGGTAAAAGTTGAAAGCCTCACGGATTTCTGTCTGCAACCTCAATCCTATCTCTGGAAACTTTAATAAATGATAGGTTATACAAGCCAAAGCTGTTGCAGTCGTCTCGCTTCCTGCAATACTATTCCTCGTTAGTCTCAATAGACTAAATGGAAATAAGACATACACAAAGTCTGAGGCATGTGCTGCTAACTGAACATCTGAAATGCCGTCGTTGTCGCGACCTTGTAGCATTTTAGTCAAAAAGTCTTTTCGCGTGCTGCTTTGTTCGATCCTCCTGACATGCATAAGCCATGAGACGTGATCAACTTGACTCTGAAACCCTTACCTTCTAATCAGGTCCATTGCATATTGCTCGTGCTTCCGAGTGTCCTTGATGAGCTGCTTTAGCAGTCCTGAGAAGGCTTTCTGGGCAAAGTATCCAAGCCAAGGAAATCGCTTGAAAGTGTCGGCTAATGCACCCAATCTCAGGCTTTTCACAATGATGGATACCCAGAAATGCTCAGATCCTAGAACCATTTTGATCAGACACTGTACGATGTCTCAGGGCATTAAGAGGAGAGCTTACCAGAACTGATACCACCGAAAGACTCACCAAATGCTAAGCTTCCAATGATATCGAAAGTGGCAAGATTGAACCACATGACGATATCTACACCGTCAATCGAGGAGCCTTTCTCCCCAATTCGGGCGATAAAATGGTCGATGTTGTCGCTAATGAGACTCTCTTGCTCCCTCAAATATTGGTCTGAGAAGACGTCACGCAGGTAGCTTCTCATTTTGTCATGCTTATGTGGATCACGCTCGCTGACAATGGAATGAGCTTCTGCGGCAAAATTCCCGCCATCATAGAAGTCGCTCTTGATGAATGACTTATGGCCAACCCGTTTTGCATAAATGTCTTTCCATGACTTGTACGTATTGAAAGACAGCTCGTTTGGGGCGACTCTCACAACTGGGCCGTGTTTTTGGTGGAGCTTATGAATCTCGTATGGTTGTCGTCCGCCCAGAAACATGCGACAATGTGAGAACTACAACTGGTTACACGTGTACTCTGAACACAGCGTGGTTGAGGTACGTTACTAAATTTGGCCGTCCATGGGCCTGGAAATCGGGACAGTGGATGGCTTCGAATCTGGGAAAGCTTCACAAAGAACGCAAAGATACACGTCTAACCACGCATTAGCAATTCGCCTTGCTAGACGTGCCAGACGAAATCTCACTATGGCGATAAGTGAACTGATCTTCAATACGGAGAGGCAAGCATCATTGCAGACATCGAACGATAGAGAGGGCCACGGATTGGTAGATATTGCCGTTGCGTTCATAGTGGAGCAAGGGTTATGAAGCGGTCTGGATAGATTTTCTGTCGGAAATGTTGGTGTTAAGTGCTAGAGGATTCGTGTGCAGTTCCAAAAAAGGTAAGACTCCGAGACCGATCGGCCACCTCGCAGGGTTTATGTCAACAATCGGTGTAACAGCGGCAAGATCTATATACAAAACTATAAAGAATAAACAATCAGTTATGAATAACTAGGTTATCGTTATTTGCAATAAGATTGTAACCGGAATAACAGAGTGGAAATCAATGACGTCGCTGAAAATCGAAGAAGGAGACATACCGCAGCTTGGCGGAACAGTCGCTATCATCTCAGGTGGATAATCCCCAGTGACCTTGATAGGGGAGTAATTTCTGACGCTGTTAGGAAGGCGCTTCGAGTGGAATTGGCCTCGCTACGGCAAAACTGCTGGCAACGAAGGGCGCGACAGTCTACAACCTTGATATCGACAAACCGGAAGAGACAACTCCTAGAGTTACATACATAAGATGTGACATATCTAGTTGGGCAGATCTACTTGCTGCATTCGCGACTACAGGACCACCACACATTGCTGTCGCTAATGCAGGCATCGATGAAGATGGGACATATATGGCCGATTCTTATGACGATCATGGCAATTTACTCGAACCGTCGTACAAAGTCATTGACGTCAATCTTCGAGGAACCCTCAACTTCATCAAGATATCTCTCCATTTGATGAAAAAGAATGCAATTGCTGGTAGCATTGTCATCACTTCGAGTGCAACTGCCTATTTACCCGAACAGACGTTGCCAGTATACAGTGGAACAAAGGCAGCTGTAAGTAAAGAGAGCATTTGCAAACCCAAAGAAGACATTGAACGCTGAGACATCGGCCCTGTAGTTAATCAACTACATGCGCGCTATGCGATCACTCCTTCGCGATTCCAACATCACGATCAATTCTGTTGTTCCGGCAGCGACTATTACAAAATTACTACCAATGGACCTAGCCGGCCCGATACTAGCTGCAGGACTACCCGTTAGCACAGCAGAGTTTGTAGCATTAGCAGTCGCATACTCTGCTGTTGCGCAAGAGCCACGTAAAGTGCAAGGTTATGGGAAGGATGAATGTGAATGGATACAGCAATCTGGAAGGTGGAATGGAAGGACAATTCTCACTTTGGGAAACTCTTTTACCGAGCTTGAAGAGAATTTGAGTGACTGTCGAGGTCTTTGGTTCGGACATGAAAATCTGGAGAAGACCAAGATGCAGCAGGCCGCTACAGATTTTCGCGACGTGCTACGGGGATGATTTTGAGTTGGAATTCTTAGTTCAAGGTAGAGCTTTCTGACACCCAAACAATTAAAGTTACCTGACACCGATCAACACATACTCAATAAAGAAATGTGGCGCGTCGATGTACTTTTCTGGGACTTCTTAACACGGCAACGCGCCTCGCAACACTTCCTATTCAGGCTAGCGCATCCCCAATTGAAGGCCCCGATCTCTTCAATACTTATACACCACTTTCATTGCTGTTCGATACCTGCCTAATTGTAATAGTACAGCCTTATTCTTTTCTCTTTAGCCGAAGATGACCATACATGGCGCCACAATCCCGTCGTCCACCGCGGACTTTGTCAGAAACGAGGTTCCGCAGACAATCTTCCGAGCCCAAATCCACAGAAACGAGCAAGAAGTGACGGCCGAAGTTAATGACTATTTCCTAGAACACTGGCCGTTTGAGAATGAAAAAGCAAGGATGAAGTTCATTGCTGTGGGATTTTCGCGTGTGACATGCTACTACTTTCCGCTAGCATTGGACGATAGGATAGCTCTTGCCTGTCGCTTGATCACCCTGCTGTTCCTTATCGATGGTATGCAGACCTCTATCTTGCACCACGACGTTGCTCAATCAGGAACACTGATATATAGAGTGAATGCAGACCAGCTCGAGTTCATGTCATTAGAAGAAGGGTCCGCGTACAACGAACGTCTGATCGCCATTTCACAAGGAACAACGCGACCAGACCATAGTGTTCCTGTGGAATGGATTACATATGACTTGTGGAACGACATGCGCGCCTGCGATACTGAGCTAGCGGATGATATGAAAGAGCCGGTCTTCACATTCATGAGAGCGCAGGTTGACACGAAGCGCCTATGTGTAAAAGCCTTAGGAGAATATCTGGAATATAGAGAGAGAGACGTGGGTCAAGGGTAAGTCAGTGTTTGCCACTTCAAGGCCTTATTGTTTCGAGCATTACTAATGTTCGCAGGTTGCTCTCTGGTCTGATTCGATTCACAATGAGATTGAGACTTGACCAACAAGATTTGGATTCCATCAAGGAAATAGAAACAAACTGCTCAAAACACATCTCCGTTGTGAACGATATCTATAGTTGGGACAAGGAGCTGAAAGCATCCAAAGTCGGGCATAAAGAAGGTGCTGTGCTCTGCTCCGCCGTTTCTGTGCTGTCAGCAGAGATGGCGCTGAGCATACCGTCAACGAAGAGAATCCTGTGGGTCATGTGCCGGGAATGGGAATTGCAACACAAGCAACTTGTTGTGAACAGGCTGGCCTCTGGCCAATCTTGTAGCTATGACTTGCAGATGTTTATGAAGGGTCTAGAATTCCAAATGAGTGGAAATGAAGTGTGGAGCTCGACGACTTCGAGGTACCATCGTGTACAGATGTAGTCTTTACTTAGATGTTGAGCATTCGATAGTACACAATACCATAGAGCACTTGACCACTCATTATGCACGCCCCCTACGGTGCCTGAACAACTTCCAACTTTAGAGTCAGATAGCCATCTAGTGAGAGGATGCAGTCAAGCGTGAGCCCTGAATCGTTACATCACATTACAACAACGGCGCATGACAACAAGCATAGAACCTTGCAGCTTTATTTCAAAAAGCGTCGAACGAAGTACATAGCAAAAACAAATGAGTCTGGCGTTGTGTGATACACATGCTCTGTTCACTATCAACTCTCAACAGCCTGTTGCCGCCCAGGTGGATGATTCGTCTTCGAAACCAGGACATCCATATCGTTATAATCAGCCAGATCACCAATCAGGACTTCGTCCTTTGCATGAGTTTCCAATTTCTGGATCAACTTCTCATCAAAGGCATTGAGAAGATCTTCAGGGAGTTTTGCCAAAGCTTGATCGAGATCGTCAATGATGTCTTGGACATCTTCAATGCCGACCGAAAAACGAATGAAAGCCTGTCAAGAATGTATGGATCAGTTGGTGTCTTTACTGTAGCATATCAAGGAACAGAAACTTACGGGAGTGATTCCAGCTTCGCGTCTATCTTTCTCTGACATGATCACATGGCTCGAATTCCATGGATGGGTTGCCAGCGTTTTAGCATCGCCGACACTGTATTGTATCAGCGCAGAACCTGGGATCCGACTATCTAGAACTTACTTGGTTTGATGCGAAACGACCTTGACGTAATTCATGAGCATTTTGCTCGCCACTTCACCCCCCTTGGGCCCAAACGCCAGAACGCCACCAAAGCCGTTCTTCAGATATCGCTTTGCGTTCTCATGATAGATGTTGCCTTCCAAGCCTAAATAAGATGTAAGTCGATTGTCGTGCCGCGATTAGTCAAAAGTCGGACAATGGCTTACCAGGATAGTTCACCCAAGCAATTCTAGGATGCGCCTGCAAGAACCTTGCAACCTGCATCGTGTTTCTCGCATGTCTCTCGCACCTTATACTCAACGTTTCCATGCCTATCAACAACTGCTGCGCCGATGCTGGGGCCAGCATGGATCCCACTTCCATCAAAATATCGATTCGCATTGCCATGGCGAAACAAATATTGCCAAAAGATTTCCAGTAGGAGAAACTCATCGGCCCGTCTTTGTTTGAGAGGCGAGGAAAGCGATGAATGGCTTTGCCCCAGTCGAATGTACCGCAATCAATGATCACGCCTCCTAATGTGGTTCCATGACCGCCCATCCACTTGGTTGCGGAATGGACAATGATATTTGCACCGAAGTCGATTGGTCGACACCAAGTCCCGCATGCGCCAAAGGTGTTATCCACTACAAAGGGAACATTGTTCTCATGCGCAAGATCTCCCAAGTCCTGGAGGTCAGGAATGCTACATCGTGGGTTTCCAATGGTTTCGACGAAGATCATCTTCGTCTTGTCGTCGATGTACTGTTCGAACTCTTCTCTTGTCTCGCGCTTCGCCCATTTGACTGTGATGCCGAGTCGTGGTAGCAACGTCTTGAACAGGCTGTAGGTTCCTCCATACAAGTTGATTGAAGCAATAATATTGTCGCCTGCTCCTGCGAGACAAATGATCGTGTTGAAGATTGCTGCTTGACCTGAGGATGTGGCGATGGCCGCTGTGCCACCTTCGAGAGCGGCTGCGCGCTTTTCGAAGACTGCAACTGTTGGCTGTGTGCTACATTTAGTGTCTGTTTCTGCTCTAAATCCATGGCGGCGCTTACGTTGGAGATTCGACTGTAGAAATATCCACCCTCTTCGGTTGAGCAAATTCTCTTAGCATGATTGCTATCAGTGAAAACGAAGGACTTGCATTCGTGTCAGCCTTTCGTATTTCACAAGAGACCAGAAACTTAAACGCCATACATACCACGCTGTTATAAATGGGTACTGCCCGAGCATGGGTCTCCTTATCAGGCCGATGTCCTCCATGAATCTGAAGGGTATCGTATCTCAGGCCGTCGTCAAACTTATCAATCTTGTACGGCTGCAAAGGGTCATGGTTCTCTGGTAGCTGCGACAAAGTGATACCGTTTGGATCAGGTATTTTCTGGTTGTTGGTCGTACCGCTGGTTGTACCGTTGGTTGTACCGTTGGTCGTTGAGCTATCTGGACGGCTCGTTCCGTTCGTGGCAGCAACATTGTTCTCGTCTTCAACAAATGGTGCCATTTTTCATGTAGAAGCAAATGATAGTGAACAAAAAAGTCTTGACGAGATGCAAGTTATGCGATAGGTATCACAGTAGACGGTGTTGCTAAAGAATCCAAGACCAAACCAGACCCGGGGTTCTTCCTTATTCGGTAAAAGGGCTGGCTTTAGTCTACTTATGGTATCACTCCGAGCCAACCACTGATACTCCCAAACAAGTACCTGTCAATCACGACTCGAATCGTGATCATACAACATAGAACTACGCCCTCATTTTAACGGAAGAATCGGCCAAGAATAATGCATTTCGCAACATACGCTGCAAGCCTTCAAGCCAGCATTAACCTTCAGTTGCTTCAACATCACTTGAGTCATGTATTCGCATACTGTTGTTCTCTCACCATATGTGTCTACATTCTGAGAGGGTTCTTCAAAGGACCAAGGCAAAAGTTGATCGCAGGTATCCCTGTCGTAGGGGGCAATGATGTCAAAAGTATCCAACTCAACCGTGAGAGATTTCGAACGGAAGCGAAGGAAATGCTATTAGAAGGCTACAAGGAGGTACAAGTGATTTGATAGTCACCATTATGTCGCACCACATCCTAACATCAGTCTTAGACGGGTGGAGGTTTTTTCTACGTCCCGAGCCCACTTGGGGAACGACTCATGATTCCATCGAAATATCTCGAGGAGCTAAAGTCCGCACCAATTGATCACGTAGATTTCGTCGCTACGTTCATCGAAGTACGAGAATCTTTGCACCATCCCTTGTTATGATGCTTGAGACTGAATCTATCCGATAGATGTTTGAAGGCAGATACACCACCATGGGAAGCCGCTCAACTCTTCACCCACGCGTTGTTAAAGCGCAATTGAACCACCATCTCGCGGACGTCATGCCTTCCGTCCAACAGGAAATCTTTGACTCAGTGAAGGATAACTTTCCTTTGTGTGACGGTAAGTGTACCCATCCGCTGTTTCAACGAACGCTCGAAAGTTGACATATGCACCAGACTGGACGCCAGTATCTGTCGTCTCAACCCTGACCCAGATCGTTGCGCGCGTCTCCTCTGCCATGTTCGGCGGAACTACACTTTCGCACAACAAGCCTTGGGTTGCCGCAAGCATCGCCTTCGCCATTGACGGCTTCATCGGGGCGCAGAAACTGAAAAAGTACCCTGTGTTTATGAAACTCCTAGTTGCACCTTTTATCCCAGAGCTTAGAAATATAGCCAAGCATTACAAAGCCGCTGAAGAGGCTTGTTACAAGGTAACAAGGAGTTGCTTCCTTTTGTTATGCAGGCCGCAGGAAGGAAGACCATCGGGATAGCCGCGATGGAAGGTCGCTGATCCAAGGCGGGGCCTGGGATCACGTGACGTGCCAT